AGGTAAATTCTGTTGGCTGATAGTACATTGAGGGGGTTGCAGTCATTGCAATGATTTGTTGAATATAAAACTGATGTTCTGCCTTGTAAACCTTCACTCAATTCACAATGAAAGCTTCCCCCCCCCCTTAAAAAAAAAAAAAGTCATTCAAATAAGAGAATTGTCAATTGGTTCTCATTCCGCTATGCATTTATTGATTCATTAAGTGACTGCTTTCCTGGTTGACTTTAAAAAAAGTAAAGGGCTGCCACTGATTGGTTTGTGGAGAAATATATTTACTGAGGCAAATTGTTATTCTGGTATTTATTAACATAACTTCTTGTGGTTAAATACTATCAAATGGATTCTGACTCATGTTGTTGTTAGGTACTGATGAATCACTTACAACACATAGCAACCCTGTGGCAACAGAATGAAACACTGCCTGGTCCTGGAATATCCTCACAATTGTTATAAGCCCATTATTGCTACCACTGTATCAATCCATCTTGTTGGGGGTCTTCCTCTTTTTCATTGACTCTTCCCTTTGTCAAATATGATGTCCTTCTCTAGGGACTCTAGTCCCTTCTGGCAGCATGTCCAAAGTACAAAAAGTCTTTCCATTGTTCCTCCTAAAGAGCAATCCAGCTGTACTTATTCTAAAACAATTTGTTTGTTTTTCTGGCAGTCTGTGGTACTTTCAGTATTCTTTACATACATACGTTCTTGTGGTTGTGTAGGTTGTCAGGTTCCTTGAGTCATTTCCAACTCATAATAAACCCTATGCACAACAAAAGGAAACCTTGTCCAGTCCTTTATCATCTTCCCAATGACTACATTTAAGTTAATTGTTGCTGCTGCTGCCACTGTGTCATTCTGTCTTGTTGGGGGTCTTCCTCCTTTTTGCTGACCTTCCACTTTACTCCACATGTATCTGAGGCAGTGCTTTATTACAGCACCACACCAGGACTTCAAAAACATACATAGTAGATCATATTTGCTTGCAGAACCCTGCCTGACCCATGAGGACATAGGAATTTTTGTCTTTTATTCATTAGCTATATTCTTGGCTTGCTCTTAGTAGCCCTCAGTAACCTGTTACTAAAGGCTACAGATGATTCATAGTATATTTCCTATTGTTTGGGGATGGTTTCTGAGAAAGGGATGGTGGTAGGCATATTTATCACTGGAATTTTATAACCAATAAAATACTCCTTTGTGCTTTCCAAGTCATGTGTCTTCTCCCCCCCTCCCCCCTTTTTCTTTTTTATCTTAATGTAACCGGTTAGATATTTCATTCTGAATTAATTCAGGATATGACTGAAATTCATGTTTTTGTAACTCTGTAATTTCCCTCTAGCTCTTTTATAAAAAGTCCTACCATTAGCATCCTTTAAGAACTATTTATATAACGTTCCAAATTAGTGCATTATAGTTATCATGTTAAAGAAATGCTTTCATGAGTATGTCTTACTAAGAAGCACAGGAATACAAAGACATTACATAGTAATTCATTGTTTTGTTTTATTTTAAACAGGTGTTAACCAGTTTACACCATGCGTGAATATAAGTTAGTTGTACTTGGCTCAGGAGGTGTTGGAAAGTCTGCTCTGGTAAGTCGTTCTCACTGTACATAAACTATTGATTCCAAGGCATGTTATTTCTATAGAGATTAAAGTTTTTATAATTAAGCTTCATTTGTTGCTTAAGGTGAAATCTCATAAGGATCTTAGAAGCAATCATTTTCTTGTAATTATACTCAACTCTCAGTTAATATATATGGTAAATCATACTCTTTCTGGAACATTAGTTCCAAACTGATGTAATTTATGCCAGAATGCAGTTTGGGCTAAGCACAGAGCTTGAGACCACATAAAATGTGTATCTATGTGTATTTCAAAGTCAGATTGAAATGAATTTGGTCTTTTTCCCTGTGAGTAGGCTCATACCATATATTTTATATTAGAAAGTAAAATTTTTAAAATCTTTTCTCAGGTATAACCTTTGACTATCTAGTTTTTTGCATAATTTTAGCAGTCATATTTTTTTTGTCCATAACACTATAGCAAGAGAGAAGACACAACTTACAGGGTGGAATATGGAGGCTGGGATAAGGAGTAACCTTAGAAGAAATAACTTGAATACTTGAGAATTTAGCAAAACCCCACAAAAAGAAATACATTGATCTTCTCTTTTTGCCAAGTGAGATCAAACCATCTTACTCGGCTGCTCAGTATCTACCTACCATAGAATTTGACATGCTTGGATCAGACTGAGAATTATGTACTTTTTTATTTTAAGTTACTGTGTATATCCTTAAGCAATTGGGGAGGTATTATTGTATGGACCCATGATTAAAATTCAAATATAAACTCTTAATATTGAAACAAGATGTTTCTAAAACTTTTTCTCACCAAATGTAGCTAATCAAATGTTATTTCAATTGTTTTTCATCAAAAATATAATCTCTAGTGTGAAATTAATAGTTTAAAATTTACATATTTGGAGTTGTTCTTATGTGTTTTGTTTGTTGATGCTTTTGTGTTTTAAAGGCATGTAAGATCTTGTCTGTAGGTTTGCAGACAATTATAGGTTTTCTCCCAATTCAAAGAAATGTAATGCTGTGGATTTTTTTTTTCAGACTGTACAGTTTGTTCAAGGAATTTTTGTTGAAAAATATGATCCTACGATAGAAGATTCTTACAGAAAGGTATATCTTACTTTAGATAATCTTTTAATTATATATACATATATATGAACATTTATTCTTAGTTATATAATTTGTTGAATATTGTATACAAAGAAGGCTGGAAAGACAGATTTAATTTATAAAACTATATAGTGGAAAAAGTTGACACTTGATTATTTCCTGGCATTGTATGTTGCCAATATAGAAGAATCTTAAACACGCATATATATATACATAAGAGAATTTTAAATTTATTCTGACATAAAAATTGTAATTAGACCTATAAACTTCAGAGGAAGTCATCCATCCTTAGAGGTAGCCTTCATGTTTCCCCCTCTGGAAGTGATTCTCAGGCTTCCTTCTTTAGAACCTAAAGATGAGAGTCCAAAGGTCTCCCTAACTTTTCTACTAAGAATTACTTGAGAATGTACTGCTGCTAACAATTGAAAACTAAATTCCTGTGTCCACTAATAGCATGTGACAATAAACTTCATGTACAAACTTATTTGCTTAGTATGGGGAGAGTTGTCTTCTGACCTTATATAGCAGCCAGCTGGGCCCATGCTGCTGTACAGATACTGTTTCCATCTTTCCCTCCATGACTGTTGCTGTTGTTGTTAAGTACCATAGAGTCGGTTCTGACTTACAGTGACCCTGCACAGCGTTTCCGAAGCTGTAAATGTTTACAGGAGCAGAACGCCTCATATTTCTCCCGCGGAATGGCTGGTAGTTTCGAACTGCCGACCTTGAGGTTAGCAGCCTGATTCGTAACCACTACTCTACCAGAGCTCCTTCCCAAGACTGTAGTCATCCACAAACCTGGAAATCCCCATCCTGCACCTCAGCTATAAAGAAATATTGTTTCTCTTCTTTTCACATCTAATTCTAAATCACTTTTCTTTTCTTCTTTTACCCTAGGGATTTCCAGGTAAACGGAGTTTAAACTTTTTAAAGGCCCCTTGTATAATTCATCTGATAGCTATGGCACTGCTTGCTACCAGTACTGGTAGGGGCTGTGATTATCTAGAGACATGGATATATAGATAAATAAGAGATATAGAAATATGTATGTAAAATATTATCTAAGATGTGAGGTACAAACACTTCTAATGCTGTTGGAACGTTTTAAAATCATGTCCTCTCTAGAATTAAGTGCTGAATGATTCATATTGTGACTTGACCATATAAGTGTTCTTGTGTGGAACACTTATACCATTGGGGACCTTGATTAGCTGGTTATTTTCCCGTGTCTTATAGTTTTGGCTTGAGATTTACTTGCTGACTAGCTATTATCTGTGTCTGTGTTTAAAATCTTACTAGCTTCTGTGTATATTAAAGGAGTCTTGTATGTATAAAAACTAAAGGTATGTGTTCATTTTCCCCTAGCAAGTTGAAGTAGATGCACAACAGTGTATGCTTGAAATCTTGGATACTGCAGGAACGGTATGTAAAATTAAGTACCAAAGTATATGTACAGTTTGTATAAAAATGACTTTACAGATGCTAGTACACTATAGTTTTTATTAGTTAAGCTCATTGAAAGTACGAGCATTCAATCTGGATGCTATTGTTTTATTCTCTTAAATTCTTACATTGTTTTTTATAATACACTTTCGTAATTACAATAGGTCAGACATTGAAGGATTAATTAGAATGTTGGCTGGAATGCAGATGTTCATACACTCACTGATACTTTTAAAACAAGTTGAATATATTGTCATGTTTCAAAATATGTGAAAAATATTTGCATAAACATTCATTCTTTAGTGGCTCCATAACGTATTTTGAGTGGATTTAAAAGAATCTGAAGTGAAGGGAAGTTTTATTTTGGGTATATGGTATTGATTCAACTAATGCTTGCGTACTTAGTATGTACCAGGCATTGTCATTTTACCCTTAAAGACTCACAGTCTAATGATGGTGGAAAATGACAAGATAAGGGATAAGCATGCTGATAGACCCCATACAGCTAGAGCATTGTTTGATAGCTGGATAACTTGAAGATATAATTTTAATAATGCCTTACACATTAAGATATTTTAAAAAACTATAACCATAATATAGAGTCCTGCTGTGGCACTATAGTACAAGCACCAGACTGCTAATCTCAAGGTTGGTGATTCAAACCCACCAACCACTCCTTGGAAATGCTATGTAGAGTTGCTATGAGTGCAAACCAACACAGTGTCATTTAACAACAAAACATTGCCATATCTTGGTGTGACGTTGTAGAATAAACACTGAACTGCTAACTTTAAGGTCAGTAGTTCAAACCTGCCAGCTGCTCCTTGGAAATCCTATACAGGGTCACTATGAATCAGAACTTACCATTATAAATTTGTTTATAAGTAACTTTGAAGATGAGATATTTCTAACCTAATTAGTGTATTTGTTATACATAAATCTACTTTGGACTCTTATTTTGTTTCTTTAAGTACTCATTTTTCAATTAGTATTTGCCATGCACTATAAATTTAAGAATTGTTGTATAATACTATAATATTTTTCATTGAGCAATCATTGTAGACTCTAAAAAATTGTCAGATTAACTGGTCAAAACTTTTGTTTTCCTCCCACTGTAGGAACAATTTACAGCAATGAGGGATTTGTACATGAAAAATGGACAAGGCTTTGCATTAGTTTATTCCATCACAGCACAGTCCACTTTCAATGATTTGCAAGACCTGAGAGAACAAATTCTTCGAGTTAAAGACACTGATGATGTAAGCTAACTTCCTAAAACTGAATATTTTGTTTTTAAGCTCTTGTGGTAATGGTGTCCAAGTTACCTTTTTTTTTCCAAGTTCATGTAATTTTTGTTTGTTTTTCTAAAGCTTTTCCTTGAAACACAAAAACACATTTAAGTACTCATACATGTTTTCATGGGAGAAAGATGTGGCTTTCTGGTCCTGCGAAGATATGCAACCTCAAACCCTATGCAGGGTTGCTATGAGTTGGAATCGACTAGACAGTGCTAGTTTTCAAATATATATAACATGGAAAGTGATATTTTTCATGCCCTCTTCTTATCTTGTGCAAAATAAATTTTATACTCTTTATGTTTTTAAATCAAGTATTATATTTAAAAAAGAGGTAGGTTGTTATCTCAGGCCAGGTTTCCTAGAGAAGCAAAACCAATGAAATACATATTTTTTGGGTTTTGTTGTTAAGTGCCATCAAGTTGGTTCCAACTATAGGACCCTAAGTCTAGCACATTAACCCCCAGTGCCACACCAGGACTCCAGAAATGTATATATTTATATAAAATATATATAAAGACAAGTTTATTATCAAGGAAATAACGTACAATTGCAGAGTCCCAGGTCCCCAGCTAAAGAGAGAAAGAGTCCTTCCCATGTGTCCATTATATTGGGAGCAGGCCACACCCCCAAGTTAGCATCCCTTCAACTGATTGGCTGCTCATAGTCACTCCCCGTAAAACTAACTGCCTGATATAAGGTCCCAACACCATGAAAATAAGCACACCCTAACTGCCAAATTTCTGGAAGTCCTGGCCTAGTCAAATTGACACAGAACCCTAACTATTACAGATGTGGACGGCAGATTAGGGTAAATAATGTTCTAACCAGTTTCTGTTGGGATTAAAAACTTTTTCAAAATAAGAAGCAGACATACATATGACCCTGTATCAAGTGGTATAAGAGAAGCATAATAAATTTTTAAAGAAGCAAACAAAATAATACTCTTTCCAAAAGAGTACATTGAAAGTTTGCAAAATTCTTTTAGTAGAAGTAAGAATGCATTGAAAAAAAAGGAGTACATTAAACATAAAGGCGCTCTGGTAGCATAGTGATTACAAATTGGGTTGCTAACCTCAAGGATAGCAGTTCAAAACTACCAGCAATTCTGTGGGAGAACTTTCTGCTCCTGTGAAGATTTATGAGAACTTTTTGTTTCTATAAAGAGTTACAGCAAGGAAAACCATTTTTAATTACAGCTTGTTAATGGAAGAGATTTTATATACTTTTTCTCAGTCATAGAAATTTTGTAAAATTGAAAACTGAGAATTCCCTTACATGAGTAGAAGCTGTGTATAATTTTCTCTTTTCAAAACATTACCTGTGAAGTATTAGCACCCTAACAACCAAAGAAATACTTTGAAAATATGTAGAAGGCTCAACAATTCCTTTTCATAGATGGGAATACTGTATATATAATTTTATTAGTCACACATGTATTGGAAACTTTTCCATTCTTGTAATTTAAACAGAATGTTGACAATATATCAAACTCATATATTTTATTAATGTATATTACATTAGTAAAATTTAGAAGTCCCTTCAGAGTACATCATAGTGGAGTTTGATCCCTATAGAATGTTTATTTTATTTATCTTATTATAATTAGCAGAAATTATCAAAAGTGATTTTTACATCGGATTCATCATTAGGGCTTGTTGAGATGAGGATCCTGGGCTTCTCTTCCAGAATTTCTAATTTAGTAAGTCTGTGATGGTCTGAGGAAGGCCACAAGAAATGTTTTTTTCATCCATTATTTACATTAAGCAGTACTTATCAGATGCCGATTATATAAAGGCCACCACTCATCTGTCAGTTTGTCATACTGTGGTGGCTTGTGAGTTGCTGTGATTCTGGAAGCTATGCCACAGCATGGTCATCCATGGTAGACAGGTTTCAGATGAGCTTTCAAACAAAGACAGACTAGGAAGAAGGAGTGACAAACTACTTCTGAATATTTAGTCACTGAAAACCTTACAAATAGCAGAGAAACACTATCAGATACAGTGCCGGAAAATGAGCCCCTCAGGTTGGAAAGCACTCAAAATGCAACTGAGGAAGAGCTGCCTCCTCAAAGTAGAGTTGACCATGATGACGTGACTGGAGTAAAGCCCGTGGGAGTAAAGCCTGCAGGACCTTCATTTGCTGATGGGGCACAACTCAAAATGAAGAGAAACAGCTGTAAACATCCATTGAAAATCAGAACATGGAATGTACGAAGTATGAATCTGGGAAAATTGGAAGTTGTCAAAAATGAAATGGAACTCATAAACATCGATATCTTAGGCATTAGTGAACTGAAAAGGACTGGCACTGGCCATTTTGAATCTGATGACCACATGGTGTACTATTCCAGGAATAAGAAAGTGAAGAGGAATGGTGGTGTATTTCTCAAAAAGAACATATCCAGACCAGTCATAAGGTACAACGCTGTCTGTGATCTGATAATATCCATGTGCCTACAGGGAAGACCAGTTAATAGCACTACTATTCAAATTACACACCAACCACTAAAGCCAGTGAGGATGAAATAGAAGAATTATACCAACTTCTTCAATCTGAAATTGATCAAACATGAAATCAAGATGTATTGATCACTATTCATGATTGGAATGCAAAGGTTAGGAACAAGGAGGAAGGATCAGTAGTTGGAAAATACGGCCTTGGTGATAGAAATAATGCTGGAGAGTTGAATGATAGAATTCTGCAAAAGCAATGATTTGTTCATTTCAAAAACCTTCTTTAGATAGCATGAGAGAGGACTATACACATGGACCACACCAGATGGAATACACAGATATCAAATTGACTACATCTGTGGAAAGAGGCGATGAAAAAGTTCCATATCATCAGTTAAAACAAGGCCAGGGGCAGATTGTAGAATAGACCATCAATTGCTCATATGCAAATTCAGACTAAAGCTGAAGAAATGAAAACAAGTCCATGAGAGCCAAAATACGACCTTAAATATTTCCCACCTGAATTTAGAGATCATCTGAAGAATAGATTTGATACATTAAACACTAAAGACCGAAGACCAGAAGAGTTGTGGGGTAACATCAAGAACATCATCATACAGGAAGAAAGCAAAAAGTCATTAAGAAGACAAGAAAGAAGGAAAAGGTCAAAATGGATGTCAGAAGAGACACTGAAACTTGCGCTTCAGCATAGAGATGCTAAAGCAAACGGAAGAAATGAGGAGGTCCAAGAGCTGAACAGAAAATTTCAAAGGTCAGCTCAAGAAGACAAAGTCAGATATTACAACAAACTGTGCAAAGATCTGGAATCAGAAAACCAAAAAGGAAGAACACACTCAATATTTCTCAAGCTGGTGGGGAACTGAAGAAAAATTCAAGCCTTGACTTTTCGTTATTGAAAGATTCTCTAGTCAAATTAACGAATGATGCAGACAGCACCCAAAGAAGATAGAAGGAATACAAAGAGTCACTGTACCAAAAGGAAATGGTTAATGTTCAGCCATTTCAAGATAGCATATGATCAAGAGCCAATGATACTGAAAGGAAGAAGTCCAAGGTACATTGAATGAATTGGCAAAGAACAAGGCACCAGGAATTGATGGAATAAAACTTGAAATTTTTCAAGAAAGTGAGGTGGCACTGAAGGCACTCACTCATCTATGCCATTACATTTGGAGACAACTATCTGGCCGATGAATTGGAAGAGATCCATATTTGTGCCCATTCCAAAGAGGGGTGACCCAACAGAATGTGAAAGTCATTGGACAATATATATATTTGATATCCCATGCAAATAAAGTTAAACGACTGCAAGCATACATTGACGGAGAACTTCCAAAAGTTCATGCCGGATTCAGAAGAGGACATGGAATGGACAATACCATTGCTGATGTCAGATGGATCTTGGATGAAAGCAGAGAATACCAGAAAGATGTTTACCTGTGTTTTATTGACTATGCAAAGGCTTTTGATTGTGTGG